GGCCACGTGTCCCTGGGGCGAGGATGCTCCGCGTGGAGGGCAGCTGGGGACCGGGACACACTCTGCCACGCGCCGCCGTCGCTTGGGGAAGCGTCCAGCTTTCTATCCGAGCCCCAAGCATCCTCTGGGCTGGCAGGTGCACCGAGTTGCCCGGTGGTGGGTGCTCAGCCCATGGGGAAGATGCTGGGCTGCGACATCTCGTTCTCAGCAGCGGGAGCCACCATGGGGATGGCCGTCACCGTCCCCATGTAGTCGTGCCCCGCACGCCTGCGGAGGGGAGAGGAGTGTCACCGGCACCCCAAGGCCTCTCCCCAGCTTTCAGGAAAGCACAGAGGCCGAGGACAACTCGTCACTGGGGTGGAAAGACCTCGCGGGGCTCGGCACACTTACGTTTTCATCCTCCAGCAGCAGCAGGCCACGATACTGGCGACCAGCAGCACCGGGAGCCCTGCGGGAGAGACGTGGCGGCCGGTGAGCATCTTCCAACGCACGGCCGAGGGCACAGCCCGGCTCAAACAAAACAGCTCCGCAAAGAGCCGAAAGCGCTTTGCGCACGTTCGCAAGGTGCCCTCCCCACCCCGGGAAGAAATTCGGGTGCTGCATCCTTCCCGCCTCGGAGGTATTGCCTTCGACTACGGCATAAACCTCCCACGGCATAAACCTCCCCCAGCCCCGAGGAGGGCTTTTAGGCTAAAAAAAATAAAGAAAATAAGTCCCTGCTTGCCAAAATAAGCTTTTTGCCCGGCTTACCAATGGAATAGGTCAGGGTCTGGACGGAAACTGGAAAAGAAGAGAGAAATGGAAATTTTTAGCTGCAAAGCCAGGAAAGGGGGGGGACCCTCACTGAAAAGGGGGTTGGAGAGAAGGGAAAAATGCTTTGAAAAAGTAAAAGAGCCTTCGCTGGGTGAAACACAGCCCCCTTGCTGGGTTATCTCCCCCGGAGAGGCAGCCTGACCTGCGGCGTGGTCCGCGGGGGCGCTGGGCAGCCGGGTTGTCCCCAGAGATGTCCCCAGGGCCGTTCCCTCTCCCAGTGTGGATGTCTCCAGCGGTGGGGGCGTCTCCGGCTGCAGGGATGTCTCCGGTGATGGCCCATCAGGTGCTGGTGGCACGAGTGACCGGCCGGCAGCTCCCGGCAGCCCGGGCATTGCTGCGGGAGAGGGGCTGGAGGTCAGGCTGGCGTCGGTGTTTCCTGCTGGGGAAAATGGTGTCAAACCTTTTAATTTAAAAAATCAAAAGCCACACTCCAGGTAGCACCGTTATTTCAGTGCTCAGCCTCGTGCCCACTTCAGGCAGGTCACGGTGGGGACCATACAGCCCATCCGGCAGCTATGAAATGGCGTAATTTCAGGCAATCGAATCAATTCGATCACACAATTGAAATATTTTGCTTTCCACACCATGGTGGTTGTGGTTTTGCCGTGCCCACGGTCACGGCAGCCCCAAACCAACCCCCGTGGGCTGCGGTTGCCCCTTCCTCACCGCTCTGGGTCGTCCTCTCGGTGCGCGGCGCGGTCGGGATCTCAGGGCTGAGGGTTAGTGGAGGGAGAGCCGGGGCTCCTTCGGGAAGACACAACGCAGAGACGCCATCAACGGCAGCGCCCACGCCACCCCGCATCCTCCTCCGCCACGCCGGTGATGGAGATGTCCCCCCTCCCCGGTCCCCATCGCGTCCCGGCCGCTGAGTGAGGACTTACGGATGCATTGCAGCGTGGTTTGTGTCCAGTCAGGCTTGGCGGAGCCGTCGCGGAGGATGCACTGGATGAGAGTGGAGGTACCGGCTTTCCGCTTGTAGCCCGGGTTGCAGGTGTAGCGCAGGCGGGTGTTGAGCAGCGTGTTGTTGCCCACATCGATGTGCGCGTTGGCCACGTCCTTGGGGCGGCTGCATCGCGCTGGGGGGGGACAAAAAAAAAAGAGAGATGAAGATCGCAACAGGGAGATCAGGCACCCTCTGGCCCCGGCTCGCTGTGCTGACCGGCACCCGAGGGGGGCAAAT